AAGCTAATTTATCACTTAAATTGAAAAAATATGCCAGCAAGACATCTTCATTTACGCCTTTCACCCCTTATTTGATTTTCCAATCTTGAAATTCCTTCAGTTCTTTGTTGTAGGTATATAGATTTTGATTTCTCCGGAATGATGCCTACAGTATCCGCATTAGCTTTTTTTAAAATTTCAGATGGAATTTCAACATTTTCCATTTTTTCAGTCTTGGTTTTAGGATAACGTGATTTCAACTCAGAAAATATTGTTTGTTTACTGACAACCCTTGATTACAGACAAAATATACTTTCACACTCGCATCTTTTGTAATATTTAAAAATACATTCATTTCGTTAAATTACCTTTTCTGACATTGACAATTTGAAATTTTAAGTTACTTTTATTTATTATTAAAACGAAATTCTATGAAAGTGTCGGATAAAATTTTGTATGGGACTCGTGTGTTACGTCATATAAGTCACTTGGGAAAATTAGCTACCTACTGACTTTTTGATTATTTTTATTATTATTTATTTATTTATTTTGATTATAATAAAGAAAATCTTGCTCGAAATACAAAAACATCCTCAGAGATACTGAAAACGTGAAACTTATCTCAAATTTCAACACTCTGTATCTCGAAGACGGAACACATATCTCGCCACGAAACATTTTCTGTTATTTTAACACCCTTAATTCAAATTTTAAATTTCGTTAATGAATCATGAGAAACGGACCATCGAATTAACCATCTAAATTCTGAACAGAGTTTGATGTAATCAAAAAGTTATATAGTTCAGCAGTACATCGCAATGAAAACAATTAAATGTCGAGATAAATATCGAATGATTCAAACCCAACTGTTTCATCATAAGTCAAACCAATTTTTACCGACAAAAGGCCGTCAATCCCAGACCGATCTCGCCAACCCTTGTTCAAATATAAGTACTCGTAAGATACTCAAACAACTTGTTGAAACCTACGCACTTATATGTCTATACTGCTTAACCTGAATGCATAAGTTATTAATAATTCTTTTGAAATATATACAAGGGACTTAATTTGAATAAAACATCAGCTGGCCGGATTTTGTGTGTCTACATCTTTTTCAGATGGCATTATTTTGATAGTACGGGGATTAACATAAAACTAATTATTTTTTTAGGGATATCATTGTAACTTAAGCGGTACAAAATTTCGCACAGCTGATAAAACCCCATTTACATCAAAATACCCTTGTCTATCCAATCTCCTGGCATGGCTTATTGGGAGATGACCTTAAAAGGAAATTCTGGATGTAGAAACCTGATCTGGAAAAAAACTATGAATTTTATTCCTTCATTTTGCCAAAAGGCTGATTTCAAATCAACTAGAAAATTTATTTCATCTAAAGTCTCTTCTTCGATGGTCCGTATTGCCATAGTGGACTATAACTCTAATCTGGAAAGTGCAGAAATTTTAGCCACCGCTTTTCAAAAAGTATTTATCTTTTCCAGAATGTTGTGAGGCAGCATCTCAATAACCTTCGGGTAGATTTGGGCTTGTGCCTGACGATCTTCCAGCGTCTGCACTGACACAAAATGCTTCCTCTTTAACCGAACCTTTATATTTTATATTTAAATTTTCTCTAGATACGTCAGCTCTCCCGTCTGAGTGGTTAGCAGCTCCTTCAATTGCTATATTCAAAAATGGCGTTAAAATAAATGTCAACAATTACCAACAAATCAGCTTTTATTGCAAGTAGATCTACTACTACCAATCTGTTGTCAAGTGTAAATCAGCGGTCTCTTGCATTTGGTCGTGAGAGTCCTGTCGGAGTTCTTTATTTAGACTTCTCCAAAGCCTTCAACAGAGTCTCCAGATACAGACTTATCTTAAAGCTTGACCATTTGGTCATGTTGCGGACTACTGAACTCGCGGATTCAAAACTAGTTGAACAATAGAACTGTATCTGTTCATGTCCGGTCAGATTTGTCTCATTTTCATCTGGTGCGATCTGGTATACCGCAAGGATCTGTTCTTGGCCCACTTCTGTTTTTATTGTATTCAACAGATCTTGATTACCCTACAACTATTCCTAGTAATTTTTATTAGAACAGCACAGTATTTTTTTTTTGCAGAAATTGAGTATTGGTGCAGTATTTGGTTAATTCCATTAAACAAAAGTACAAAAGTAAATGTACCGTACTTCACATGGGTAACAGAAATCTCCATAATTTCAACCTTATATTGTTGTATTATAAGAATTGTCTTAAGTAGTCCATAAATGGGGCATAATAGGCTTTGTTGAGTGTCCTCATTTCTTTAGTTCAACAATAATGATAGTAACGAAATTTCCCAATTTTAATAGGTTCAAATATCAACATGTGCAGCTCGAATTTGGAACATACATTCCGGAAAAACTTGGACTTATGAATTTTTTCAACGCGGAAATAAAATTTGGCACCAAGTGTTGACAACACTTCGAAAAACTTTCGTTTGTTGCAGTTTTGTAAACAAACACACAAATTTTAACCACAAACCAGGATCCGCCTCAAGAACAGTTCTTGTGTGCAATATTTTTTACTGAAACATTCCAAATTAATTGATCTTTATCTGCTTCTCCTATAATTACAATTAAAAGTTTGTCCAAATGCACCACTCCTTTTGATTTCTGATCGCAAGATATTTGAAAAACAGCATTGTGCAACAGAATGTCTTTCCTTTCGTGTGACAAGGACATTTTTATCCTCGATGGTGTTGATTGATGCCAGACGATTTTATGTCCCTGAATTAAAAAATTATACGCAAAGAGCATTACTACATGTAGTTTTTTTGTTATGGAGGTATGGCAATTTAAAAAAGATGTACCTAATAATGCTCATGCAGATGCAGATGCTCATACTATTATATTTACTGAGAAAAATTAACAAATTTGTTTAAAAGACAATTCAATATTTTTCTTTAAAGAGCATATCGTTATGAATTTTCTTATTTGAGGTCCAATAAAGATGCTCTCCTTCACTTTTGCATCATTTAATAGTCGATAGATTGCTTTTAGGTACTAAAGCCACAAATTTTTTTGCTCATAATATTTACGATATCCCAATTTCATACGCAGGAGAGAGGGAACGATTTTTTTAATTCGACAAGAAGGATCTATTTTACATTCGAAGTACAAGTTCTTCGAAGCCTTTTTTTTCTTATAAAATATTATTTTAAATTGAGGTGAAACATGTGGTTCCTTTCGCTAAATCTGAATAGAAGTAATTTTACGGACGTTGTATTTGTGGACCTTATAACAATAAAGATAATTATGCGGTGCAATAAAAGTACTCAAAAATAAGATATAGTGTATAGTATAGTTCATAAAGACTAAAAGTGATTATAAAAACACTTTTTTTATGTCATTGAAATTTTGTTGACAATTATCAACAATACTACAAGCTGTAACAAAATTTTCATCAAAACAATTAAAGTTGAAACCACTCGGGAAAGATGTGTCCTTCTTTTTTTTTGTCTCAGGAGACCTATTTCTTATACTCTAATCAAAGTTATTAACCACTTATTTTGAAGATGCTTTGGAGACGAATGTTTTTGTCACATAATTGGTATCCTCACGATGGCATTTACTTTTTTATAGAGAGTAACATGCATGTATCCACTCATAATGATGTTAATATCTTCATTAAGCGCGGTCTCATGAAAAGACCCATGTTGTGGACGTTAATTTCATTGTGATTAGAATAATTATCGATTTATTAGAAATGTTTTGCCTTGATCGAGCCGAATAAAGCTCCGTACCTGCTTGCAAATTGTATCCTCGTCTTGTATAACTTTCAGCATTTGATTTCTAAATAAATTATTAAAAACTGGAAATAAAGGTCCATTTTATAAAACACCGAGACATTTACCAAAAAGTGTGAATAAATTACACTTAAACTCAGAACAGGGGTTCATTCATTTTGTTTATCTGTTCCCACTATAATAAATAGACTATTAATACATTGGTTTTATGGAGGTAGGTGGATTTTACCTTAGAAGTGGAAGTTGCTATCGACAACGGGAGGTAAATGAGGTAACTTACCTCCCTAGGGAAAAAACCGATTCCCAATTATAAATGAAATTTTATGAACAAATAAATAGAAATATTTGATGAACATTACATCTTATTAATTATTATGAATGAATATTTATAGTAATTGTAGTTATTACATTTAGTAACATTTATAAAATCTGGATAATTATTTCCCTGGCGTTTACTAATTGTCACGTTTTTCTCAAAATGATTTGACCGCTCCATTTCAGTCTCTGATTGATTATCCATTATCTGACTGATCCATTAAAACAGCATGATGCGAAGTATTGCTAGAACCTGGAGTTGAAGTCTCATTGTAAAGAATCCTGTTGGCTATTTCATTTTTGTTACTTAAACTTAAACTGTTAGCAACATAACTTTCTGCAATTGTGGCTGATTTCCACCCACCACGTCTCTTGATTGTATTAGCATACATCAATTCCTGTATTAGCCAGTAACGTTGCCGATGTTCTTCGGAATGAATGGTCTGTATATGTTTCAGGATGTTCTAGTTTCAAAAACAGTGCAATCTTATTAGGAATCATAGAAAGAGTATTCTTGCCGACTGATTGGTTGTAACATCTACCTACTTGGTAGCGCATGAAAAAGCGTGAAATTTCAGTTTTAATGTCCAATCTAATATCTTCATATATTGATATATTGCTTATATTCAATGGTTTTTGAAAAAAAAATAAAAAACCAGTTTACACCTTCCCCCTTTAATGAACTGTAACTTTTTAGGGGAGGCTCCAATTAAAAAAAAAATATTTCAGATACCCCCATTAAAATTTTCCAAGGAATGCAGTCCTGATTTTTTGTACACACTTATACAACACCCTGTATACTTTTTATTGCGTATTAATTTTGATAATGTTTTTAGTTTTATTTCAAATTTTATTCTTAAAATTCGCCACGCTTCCGACAATTTTAAACCAGATTTTTTCCGTTTCGCTTGCAGGTAGGTGCGAGCCAGCCGCCGGTATGCTGATAGCCTGCGCGGGCTGCGACAAGCCCATCCTGGACAAGTTCCTGCTCAACGTCCTGGAGAGGACATGGCACGCCGACTGCGTGCGGTGTTTCGACTGCCACGCTCCCCTCACCGACAAATGCTTCTCCAGAGAAGGCAAGCTCTTCTGCAGGAGCGACTTCTTTAGGTTAGTATTTTAGCTAAGTTTCCAAAATTTGAAAGTGTAGCGATTTCTCATGATTCAATCAATTTAACTCTCAAAATTCATTACTCTGAATTTGTGGGCTCCTCGTAGCTCGCCTCTACATCTGTAGAATGTTTATAGCGGTGGTCATGGTTACCATCGCGCAGCAGTGGAAGACGGGAGTGGGAGTATATTTACTATGCAGCTTGGGCTCTGTCCAGTTCGCCTGTAACCAAATGATAACTATTTACTGTTTTTTTTTCTTAATAAACGTAATTTTTTCAGATGTGGTGTAAAATTTTGTTACTTACATATTGTTTCTGATGTTTTTTTTAAAAACTGTAAAAGTTTAAATTGATTTTAGCACCTGAAAAAAGGAATGGTGCGAGAAATAGCAAACTTTAATGAAAAAGTTTATTTCGTGAACAGCATAAGAATACATTGAATACATTTTTCCTATATTTCAATAGTTCTTAAAATAAAACTACCCTATTATATTTGATTTTTTTTCAATACTTTGCCCTTGAATTTTTCTGTTCTCCCTAGTCAAGAGTTACTGATGGTATCTCCAAAAACCTATGTATTTATTTACCGTATAAGTGCCTTGAGATAAAGCACGAGGTAAATATTTTGAGTAGATACCGATGAAAATATTGTGGATCTTTACACATAAACATTTTTCAGAAAAATGTAGGAAAGCACCAGTTCCTGTTACAACCATCCTTGTAATTATACAAACACAATTTCCTTTAAACTGGAAATTTACATATAGTGGATGTATATTTTACATTGATAATTGCTGTGACTGGTTATCTGGAAAGTATTGTTACAATAATTTGTATTGATTTCTAAAATTATAAACCCAAATTACCATCAACAGTAATAAAATAAAAAAAGACTATGATATACTAATGAAAATACAAACTCCGTAATAGCTCTCAGTACACTAGAAACAGATGGGATAAATTCACATTTAATTTACTACTAATGTCGATTAAAATAGTGATCACATTTTTTAAAATATGTAGGTACTATTTTAAATGTTTAATTTTGTAAGTTTAATGTAAGCTTACGTTATCACAATTGTATTCAGGTGCCGATAAGATAAGTCGAATGTAATTTTACACAATATTTTTACGGAAATTTTACAGTCAAATTGTGAATTAAAGCTCAATTGTGATTCCTCAATGTATTTTATTAGCGACAAGTAACTAAGTTTAACTGCAATTTTACAATACTTATTCTTTTTTACGGTGTAAAGAAAACAGCATTCTTTAATTGAAAGAACGCTAAAAATAATTATGGTAAATCTGCATTATATTAGCAATATAAATATGATATGATAAAAAAAGTAACGAAAATATGTAAACGGGTTTGGTAAATATGATTTCCCGAAAAAGCTAGTAAAATTCTGGTATACCTATGTAATTTTAAGTATATTTTAGAAGCATAATTGTGATTGTGCAAATGCAATTTTACATTAATATTAGTTTTAAATGTGATTATACAAATGTAATCCCCATTAAATAAAAAATTTACAGTGGATTTACATTTTCCTTACTTAAATGTAATTTTTCTGTAACTCTATATGACTGCTGTGATTCTTCGAATAATATATTACACAAAGATTATGTACTAATGAAAACACAACGAACTCCATAATTCGAGTGGCTCACAATACATTAGAAACAAATGGGGTAATTTACATTTAATTTACAATACATGTCGATTAAAATATTGCAGACATTTTTTCCATGTTTCATTTTGTAAGTTTAATGTAATTTTACGTTATTACAATCGTATTCAAGTGCCGATAAGATAAGTCAAATGTAATTTTACACAATATTTTTACAGAAGAAAACAGCATTCTTTATTTGAAAGAGCCCACAGTATAATAAAAATAAGCATTGTAAATTTACATTAAATTAGCAATATAAATATAAAATGATAAAAAAACTAACGGAAATCTTTAAACGGGTGTGGTAAATATGTTTTCCCGAAAAAACTAGTAAAATTAAGGTATATGTAATTTTACGTTTATTTCAGAAGTATAATTATGATTATACAAATGTAATTTTACATTAATATTGAAGTTTTAAAAGTGATTATACAAATATAGTTCCCATTAAATAAAATATTTACAGTGGATTTACATTTTCCTGACTTTAATGTAATAATGTAATTCTGTAACTTTATATGACTGCTGTGATTCTTAGAATAATATACACAAACACAACAAACTCCATAATTCAAATGACTCACAATATACTAGAAACAAATGGAGTCATTTACGTTTAATTTACAATACATGTCGATAAAAATATTGCAAATTTTTCTAAAGTTCCATTTCGTAAGTTTAATGTAATTTTACGTTATCACAATCATATTCAAGTGCCGCTAAGATAAGTCAAATGTAATTTTACACGATATTTTTACAGAAACTTTACAGTCTAATTGGCGACAACATTTTTTAATTGAAAGAACACTAAAAATAATCGTGGTAAATTTACATTATATTAGCAATATAAATGAGATGATAAAAAAAAACTAACGGAAATCTTTAAACGGGTTTGGTAAATATGTTTCCCCAAAAAACTAATAAAATTCTGGTATATGTAATTTTATGTTTATTTTAAAAGTACGATTGCGATTACACAAATGTAATTTTACATTAATATTTGAGTTTTAAAAGTGATTATACAAATATAATCCCCATTCAATTAAAAATTTACAGTGGATTTACATTTTCCTGACTTTAATGTAATTTTTGTGTAATTTTACATGACTGTTGTGATTCTTCGAATCGCGTATACTCGTCGTTAAGAATTACGACTTATGTGCCAGATCTCAGACCATGCTTCGCAAAAATTGACGCCTTCTTTTATTTTATTAACTGCAGAAATTAATTTTCATTTTTCCATGTCAAATTACAAAGTTTCTCGAGCTTTATAAGTTTAAAAATAACTCATGTATTCGATGTTCCAAAAAGAAAAATAAATAATTCAAGACAGTGGCGTTAACTATCTTCTTCATTTGTGGCTTTACGAACTTTAACTTCCACTCGAGAATATAAATATCTACTAATAATTAGTATTCGTTTCTACGTCAACGCGTGAAATATATAACGAGACCCAAGCCTAGCACATATACACGAGCTGCTGTGACGAATTGGTTATTTTGATGGAATAAAATGACCGGGGACTAAGACCCAATTCGGTTTTATGTTTATGCCTTATTTTAATGTTTTTCGTGAACCGGGCATGGGAGAGAAAAAACTCGTTCTAACCGGAGTCACGCCTAGAAACTATCGATTTTTGGTATGTAAATGCAGAAGAGGAATAATCGGAAATATTTCGTGGAACAGAAAAATACGTTACGGAATTGATTAAAGACGATTTATTTAAAGAGAATACATATTTTCGCAAGGGAACAGCTTGATTACAGTTAAATGTGCTGTATTTTACCTAGGAACGGTTAACATTAAAATAAAATTGGTTTGAGTTAGGGTGAGATATGGTTTTCACGATTGATTTTATATCTTTTTTATTTTCGAAAACGTTAACAGTTTTAAATATAAATTTTAAATTAGGAAAAAATTTTAATCACTACTGAATTAAGTATTGTAAAATTTCCTTAAAATTGGCACTCTTAAAGATAATAGAGAATAATAATTTATTAAACAATGAATAGAAACTGTGAGTCTTACCTAAGGTACATATTTTCATGTTTTTCACAGTAAGAAGTCATTTTATGCCATATTACTATCCTAGCACAATGCAAGAAAGAAAAATTAATATTACTATGTAATAAATTATATAGAAATGTTATTGAATTTATAATACGTCTATTATACAAAGACAATACATTATTAAAATGATTGATTTCATGTTAATATGAATTTTAAGATCATCTGTAAACATCAGTTTGTGACAGTTGATTCCACTAGTAGGTAGTATCATTTATGAAGATGAGAAACGTAAGTGGTCCCAAATTAGATCCTTGTGGCACACCAGAGGTACTTAGTTTCCTATGTAAATAAGGGATAGACCTCATGTTCTGCAAATTATTAGAATGTCCAAATATCTTTAATTTGCCTAATCGTTTCACAGTAATAGTTGTTTACATTTTTTCCATAGGACAAGTCTGCCGCGTGCACACGTGGTATGCGCCAGCTGTGTAGCGTTAGGTTAAGCGCTGTTGTCACATTGTTATGAAACTCCCCAATATTAATACTCGCTGTATTTTGAAAGCTGTTAATCTTACTCCCTTGTAATATACAACTTTTTTGTTCATTTATGATTACTCTAGCTCATGCTGAAGTAATGGCAGCTAAACTTCTTACACCCTGTAGATCAATTTAGATGTAAGACTGACGTGTGCCTAGGTGATTTTAATTTCAAATAAAGTTTATAGTTGTATTTAACAACTTTTAGACAAAATGCTTATTATACTTATGAGTGTAAAAAAAATGTATAATATCTAATAAAACTACGAGTTTATAATTATGACTGTAGAATTTAATACTAATTGTAAGTCTTTTATTGCTTATTCTAATACCTTACACCGAGAGAACAAATAAATTTAATTTTCAGTAAACAAATGCTGGTTTTGAATATGATCTTCTATGCAAGAGAACTTATTATGAAAATAGTCGTGTCGTTTTGACAACAATTTGCTTACGACATTTGTTTATACTATTTTTTCAAATTTTGTGTTAGTAGGTAATAAGCAAACAGTGATATACATATATAAAAGCATTACAAAGTTAGAAATTTAATAAATTTCATAGCAGGTACTTGTGCAGGATTTCCATAACTTAGTAACCTGACACTTGTTTGTTTATTTATATAATAACAGTTAAGCTTCATTTTTGCGAGTCGAATTGATTCTGTTATACAGGGTGGCCAAATGAAAACGAAACAGAGCCATTTTCAGGAACTGCGTCAAGATTGTAGAAAAACGCACATTGTCAGACCCGTCGATTTTAGATTAAAGGGGGACCC